CCGGGAGCGGCCCCTGAGCGTGCAGGCGCCTAAGCCTAGGGATTCACTTTGGGGACCCCCACCACCACCACTTAGGACGCGCACGAGGGCATACTCCCCTCTCTTGGAAATAAAGTGTCCGTCTTACCCGGAGGAAGGTCTTGCTTTTCCCGCATCTTCTCATTGGGGAAAAGAGCCCTGTTTGCTCCCAGCCCAGCCCCGTTTCTGCTCCCCTCCCCAAGAAGAAGGAACTTCGGGGGAAGAAAAGTCCTTATTGAGCCTGGAAAGTGGACCCTTTTGCTGCCAGAGTGGCCCAGCACTTAGGGCGGGCATCGTCGCTGGCTCTTTTTGATGGTTCTGGTGGCTTTAAAGCGTGGTCTGTCTCTTGGGGAAAAGGGCGAGGGTCCCGTCGATGTGTTTTGAGACATGACAACTCAGACGTGTCACAGGCTGGCGTGACTGGCCTCCCCGCGGGCTGTGGGGGCAGGTACAGAGGCAGCACTTTGCTGCGCTTTCAGGAAGCGGACCCTGCTCCTGCTTGAGTATAGTCCCAGCCGGGCTTGTCCCAACGCCTCCAGGGCAGGGTGGGAGGTCCCGTTAGGTGAACGCCATGTTCCCCACCCAGTGGTCTGGCTCTCTCCCTTCTTGAGTGGGACAGGGTTCTGATGAACGCTTGCTGTGGTTGCCCACCAAACTGTCTTGACTGAGAAGCAGTTTAGACAACTGGAGGAGTTGGTGCTGTCTGTTGGGTGGGATACGGCCCTCTCGAAGTGTTTAAAAAACAAAACAAAACAGGTGAAAAGATGGATCTTTAGCTCACGGTGTGTGTTTCTCTGGAAAACGTAATCCACAGACAGGCTCTGGTCTTAAATGTGTTGTATTGGGGTTTATTTGAAGTTGTTCTTCACGCGTCTAATATATGACGTGTTTCCCAAAGGGTCTTTCAGACCAATGAAGACTCCAGATGCTTTGAAGCAAAAACTTTCTAAGATTGTTAAGCTAACATAAAAATTTTGAGGGTGAGGGAGATTGAAGAAGGTCGTGTTCCTCGGCATCCAGGAAGGCCAGGCTGCAGTCACACTTTCTGGCTCTCTCTGCCCGGCCACTCCCGGGAGGAAGTGTCTGAAAGTCCTCCCTTGTGCAGGTGACCTGAGGACCCTCGCCGGCACCTGAGCAGCTGTTCCTTTGGCCCCTAGACAAGTCGTTGTGGCTCACAGCCTGGCCACGAGCAGCTTAGGCACAAGTCCCATGCAGAAGGGGAGCTTGGCATTCCTGGGTAACTCTTGAACTCTAAGGCTTCCGTGACAGCTTCCAGAATGTCCTCACTAACAGGCTTTTCCCTAAGTCAGGGGGAAGCCAGTCCCAGGCCAGACGGCCAGACCTGTCAATCTTCATGCACTGGAGAGATTCTGAGAGATGGTTCTTAGCACCACAAAGAGTTGATTCTGGCGGTAATTCTCCTGTGCTCACAACTTTATTTCTAGATTGCAGCCAAAATTGGAGGCGACGCTGCTACCACAGTGAATAACAGTACTCCCGATTTTGGTTTTGGGGGCCAAAAGAGGCAGTTAGAAGATGGAGGTAACTACCTGTGGGGAGGGAGGGTCGAGGTGCAGAATGAGGAGCCTTTGTTTGAATGCAGTTCAGAGTTGGGATGGGAGCCTGCTGCCATTTGGTCTTGTAAAACCTCAGCAGTCCCAGCTTTGTTCATTCTTTTTGTTTGGCCTGCCATCCTGAGGTATCGGGTGGCTGAGAGGAGGGCAGATTGATCGCCACTAGGTTCCAGTTGTAAGTTCTCAGGAGCGTCCCTCCCTTCTTGGTACGCTGGGGAAACGCTGGCGGTTGTATTGGCTGGCCCTGGGGCATGCAGCCTTACCCACGGTAGCCACCGTGATCCGCTTGGTGATGACCCCTGACTTCTCTCACGCAGGACCCCCTGCTTCCCAAGGCAGGTCCCGTCCTAAGCTGGAAGGACTTGGGTGCCACCATCATTGTCCCTCTGTTATAAAGGGCCTTTTTGCCCTGGGCGCTGGTGGTGGGATTGGTGACATCTGGCCCCCGCTCTGGGGTTGGTCTATGCTGTTCTCCTGTCTTGGCTCTGATGGTGGGGCTGGGGGGTTGCCGGGACGTGTGGCACCAGCATCAGATTTGAGGCAGCTGCGGGTGGGTGGGTGCTGCATCTGACATCCTCTCTCTTCACAGACCAGCCCGAGAGCAAGAAATTGGCTTCCCAGGGAGACTGTAAGTCCATTGGGTGACGGAGGCAGAGGGCAGCTTCATAGTTTAGGAGGTTTTGGGGAGTCAGGAGCTAGCAGCACTGAGCCAACGGCCCCTCTCTATGGAGGCTCTGGGTGTTCATTATCTGAGCCCATGAGCTTTAGGGGTCCCTGAGGCCCTTGGCATATAGGCAGAAGTACACCATGTGTGTGCTGTTGTGAGGGCGGCTCTGTCATGCTTGGTGCTCAGGGGGGCTCAGGAGCCCTGTGATATGGGCTAGGCACCCTTGTGCCACCAGGAGTAGCCAGGAGCTGGCAGCATTCGGGTCCCAAAGAGTAGCCAGGCCAACCTTTGCTCTCCATTTTCTCTCTGTAGCCATGAGTTCTCAACTCGGACCCATCCATCCTCCTCCCAGGTAAGTTGTGGCTTGGGGGACATGTCGGTTCTTCATCTGTCAGCGGTCTCCAAGCCTGAACGAGCGGGGAGGCTGTGGGGGTCATGCTGCTTAGGACTGTGCCTTCATGGCGGGCGAGCAGGGCGAGGGTGAGAGGCGCAGGGGGCTGTTCTCCTCCCAGGACTTGCCTGTCTGTGGGGCCGCAGGGAGGAGGGGGGTCCTGGCAGCTGCAGTGAAGGAAGGGGGGTGTCCATGCCCTGTTGCTTCCTTTTTTTGGGGTGGGGACACTCAAAAGCGCAGGTGTCCATCTTCCTAAAAAGGTGGGGGCCGGCCTTGGTTTTCTTCTCTGTCTTCTGCAAACATGCTTTCCCGAGAGCTGGTGGAGCGCGGGGTCTTCTCCACCTTTTCAGTACCCCCAGAGTGACTTCAGCAAACACAGCATAGAATCTTTGAAGGACTTCACTTCTCTTTTTTAATGGGCCAGAAGTACTGTAAAATAAAGTGATTTACTAGGAAAAGTAAGTGAAAAAGAAAATCAAATTTTTGTTTAAATCAACAGATGTAAAATGATTTGGCCAGATCATCATACAAGTGTCCATGTGCCCACTTCCTTCTTGAGTCAGGGGGGGCAACACTGGTCAAGGGGCCACACTGCCTGAGACCAAGCCTCTTGTGGCCTGGATGGGGAAGCTGAGGCCTTGAGTGGTCAAGAGGCTGTGGGGAGCAAGCTGTGCCATTGTCAGACCCTGCTTAGGCCTGTGCAGTCCTGGTCCCATGTCACAGCAGGGTCAAGGGCCTGCCCCGGGCAGGGACTGTGGCTTCAGGGGCCTTTTTCCAGGACATCCTCTGGCTCTTCCATCCCCCCTCCACTTTTCCTCTGGAGACTGACTCTTGTCTCTCTTTGCAGGACTTCAATGACAGAAGAGTACAGGGTCCCAGATGGCATGGTGGGACTGAGTGAGTGTGGGTCACTGTGGGGTGCCCATTGTCCCTCCTCTCGGGACAGTTCCTGGGAGCTTCTGCCAGCCCAGAGCTTTGGTCGTTGGGGCCTCCCGGATTCTGCTCTCACCTGGCCTTTCCGGTCGGGGCAGGGGACCACCCGACGGGCTGCTCCCTGAATGTCAGTGCAGGGCCCCACCACAACCTCTGCTTTTCTCCTTGTCTCCCCCTAGTCATTGGCAGAGGTGGTGAGCAGATCAATAAGATCCAGCAGGATTCGGGCTGCAAGGTTCAGATCTCCCCAGGTATGAGAGCTGACCCAGCTGGGCCCCGCTGTCTGCTTGAGTGACCACAGATGTGAGGCGGGGGCAGTGTTTAGCGCTTTCTGTGTGCAGAGCTTAGGGCCGAGAGGTGTAGCTACCACTTCTGTTCTTCCATTTTACAGCCAGGGGAGGGCTGAGGTGGCAGGGCAAGGGCTGAACACAGGGAGCCTGGCTCCAGGCCCTGCTTAGAACCATCAGGTTAAGCTGCCACCGGGACTGAACATCTGGTGGGAAGCCCAGTGGGAGTGTGTGGAAGGACAGCTCTGCGCCCAGTTCTGGAGGCCGGCGTGCTTGTGCTGCTGTGTGGGCTTGCGGGGCTCTCTCCAGTTGGGTCTGGCTGACAGGGCTGCTTGTGCCGTCATCGTGGTGGTGGGAGTGGCCTGGGTTTTGGATCTTCTGGGATCTGCCTCTCCTTCCACTTTGCCTTTTATCCTAAAAGTTCTGCCTCCCATCATGGACTTAAAGCTTCCTGACCGTGGCCTTGTGCAGAGTAGTCTCTTGTTTGGGGAGGTGATGTGATGGGTCAGGCTGCCCAGTGGTGGTGGAAGTGGCCGTTGGTTGTTGTGGAAGTTTCCTCATCTCCACAGAAGGCCTTTCCAGTGTCTGCAGACACAGGAAGGCATTGGCCTGTCCCCTCTTCTCTCCAGACAGCGGTGGCCTGCCTGAGCGCAGCGTGTCCTTGACAGGAGCCCCAGAGTCCGTCCAGTAAGTCCCTGTCTGGGCCTATCATTATGACAAGGGAGCAGGCAGAATCTCTTTTGATCTTTTCAAAAGCTGGGGGTGACTCCCATGTCCCTTATCCCTGCCCTCCCCAGGGTCTGTTCTGACACATTGGTTCCCCTTACTCCAAAGAGCGGGGAAGCCTGAGCCCGAATAGCCCCAGCTCCAGGGGCTGGACCCTCTGCCTCGGTTTGGGGGACATGTCGGTTCTTCATCTGTCAGCGGTCTCCAAGCCTGAACGAGCGGGGAGGCTGTGGGGGTCATGCTGCTTAGGACTGTGCCTTCATGGCGGGCGAGCAGGGCGAGGGTGAGAGGCGCAGGGGGCTGTTCTCCTCCCAGGACTTGCCTGTCTGTGGGGCCGCAGGGAGGAGGGGGGTCCTGGCAGCTGCAGTGAAGGAAGGGGGGTGTCCATGCCCTGTTGCTTCCTTTTTTTGGGGTGGGGACACTCAAAAGCGCAGGTGTCCATCTTCCTAAAAAGGTGGGGGCCGGCCTTGGTTTTCTTCTCTGTCTTCTGCAAACATGCTTTCCCGAGAGCTGGTGGAGCGCGGGGTCTTCTCCACCTTTTCAGTACCCCCAGAGTGACTTCAGCAAACACAGCATAGAATCTTTGAAGGACTTCACTTCTCTTTTTTAATGGGCCAGAAGTACTGTAAAATAAAGTGATTTACTAGGAAAAGTAAGTGAAAAAGAAAATCAAATTTTTGTTTAAATCAACAGATGTAAAATGATTTGGCCAGATCATCATACAAGTGTCCATGTGCCCACTTCCTTCTTGAGTCAGGGGGGGCAACACTGGTCAAGGGGCCACACTGCCTGAGACCAAGCCTCTTGTGGCCTGGATGGGGAAGCTGAGGCCTTGAGTGGTCAAGAGGCTGTGGGGAGCAAGCTGTGCCATTGTCAGACCCTGCTTAGGCCTGTGCAGTCCTGGTCCCATGTCACAGCAGGGTCAAGGGCCTGCCCCGGGCAGGGACTGTGGCTTCAGGGGCCTTTTTCCAGGACATCCTCTGGCTCTTCCATCCCCCCTCCACTTTTCCTCTGGAGACTGACTCTTGTCTCTCTTTGCAGGACTTCAATGACAGAAGAGTACAGGGTCCCAGATGGCATGGTGGGACTGAGTGAGTGTGGGTCACTGTGGGGTGCCCATTGTCCCTCCTCTCGGGACAGTTCCTGGGAGCTTCTGCCAGCCCAGAGCTTTGGTCGTTGGGGCCTCCCGGATTCTGCTCTCACCTGGCCTTTCCGGTCGGGGCAGGGGACCACCCGACGGGCTGCTCCCTGAATGTCAGTGCAGGGCCCCACCACAACCTCTGCTTTTCTCCTTGTCTCCCCCTAGTCATTGGCAGAGGTGGTGAGCAGATCAATAAGATCCAGCAGGATTCAGGCTGCAAGGTTCAGATCTCCCCAGGTATGAGAGCTGACCCAGCTGGGCCCCGCTGTCTGCTTGAGTGACCACAGATGTGAGGCGGGGGCAGTGTTTAGCGCTTTCTGTGTGCAGAGCTTAGGGCCGAGAGGTGTAGCTACCACTTCTGTTCTTCCATTTTACAGCCAGGGGAGGGCTGAGGTGGCAGGGCAAGGGCTGAACACAGGGAGCCTGGCTCCAGGCCCTGCTTAGAACCATCAGGTTAAGCTGCCACCGGGACTGAACATCTGGTGGGAAGCCCAGTGGGAGTGTGTGGAAGGACAGCTCTGCGCCCAGTTCTGGAGGCCGGCGTGCTTGTGCTGCTGTGTGGGCTTGCGGGGCTCTCTCCAGTTGGGTCTGGCTGACAGGGCTGCTTGTGCCGTCATCGTGGTGGTGGGAGTGGCCTGGGTTTTGGATCTTCTGGGATCTGCCTCTCCTTCCACTTTGCCTTTTATCCTAAAAGTTCTGCCTCCCATCATGGACTTAAAGCTTCCTGACCGTGGCCTTGTGCAGAGTAGTCTCTTGTTTGGGGAGGTGATGTGATGGGTCAGGCTGCCCAGTGGTGGTGGAAGTGGCCGTTGGTTGTTGTGGAAGTTTCCTCATCTCCACAGAAGGCCTTTCCAGTGTCTGCAGACACAGGAAGGCATTGGCCTGTCCCCTCTTCTCTCCAGACAGCGGTGGCCTGCCTGAGCGCAGCGTGTCCTTGACAGGAGCCCCAGAGTCCGTCCAGTAAGTCCCTGTCTGGGCCTATCATTATGACAAGGGAGCAGGCAGAATCTCTTTTGATCTTTTCAAAAGCTGGGGGTGACTCCCATGTCCCTTATCCCTGCCCTCCCCAGGGTCTGTTCTGACACATTGGTTCCCCTTACTCCAAAGAGCGGGGAAGCCTGAGCCCGAATAGCCCCAGCTCCAGGGGCTGGACCCTCTGCCTCGGTCAGGCACACGTGGGGTCACCTTCCCTCCTCAAGCTGGGTGGGGCTGCCAGCCCGTACCATTCGAGGTGATGGCACCCAGTTCTTCTCCTTCCCAGGAAGGCAAAGATGATGCTGGATGACATTGTGTCCCGGGGTCGTGGGGGCCCCCCCGGAGGACAGTTCCATGACAACGCCAACGGGGGCCAGAATGGCACGGTGCAGGAGATCATGATCCCGGCGGGGAAGGCTGGCCTGGTCATTGGCAAAGGCGGGGAGACCATCAAGCAGCTGCAGGTCTGGGCAGCCTCTCCAGCCCATTCCGACAGCTCTCCTGTGCCTTGGTCACACACCCCAGCCATCCCGCCAGCTTCTAGCCTTTGCCCTTTGCTGCCTCCGCATGCACGGGCCCCAGAAAGCCCCTTAAAGCCCAGCACTGACCCTTACCCTTGGTTGTAAAGGAACGAGCTGGAGTGAAGATGATTCTAATTCAGGACGGTTCCCAGAACACGAACGTGGATAAGCCTCTCCGGATCATCGGCGACCCTTACAAAGTGCAGGTGAGCGCACCCTAGGGGTGCCAGTGGGAGCGGGCATGTTCAGGGCACGGCTGGAGGTTAGAATGAAAGGAGGGGTTTTCAGGAATCCTGGTGTTGAGTCATCCAGGACTGTTCTCCTGCCGAGCTCTCCCCATCAGCGGGTTGTATGTAAGCAAGTAGCCTAAGGTTTCTCATCTTGTGTTTTCTCACCTGGAAAACAGGGGTGCTGGCTGTGTCTGCCTCTTAGGGTAGCAGGTGAATGGGGCTCCGTGTTGGGCTCACACCCGTGTGTCAGTCCTCAGCCCAGGCCCGGGCCCCCTTGCGGCTGGGGAGGCTGGGGTCACGGTGCCAGGCATGCACACGTGCTGTGTGTTCGCAGCAAGCCTGCGAGATGGTGATGGACATCCTCCGGGAGCGTGACCAGAGCAGCTTTGGGGACCGGAACGAGTATGGATCCCGAATTGGCGGGGGCATCGATGTGAGTGCAGGCCTCCCCGGGTGGGTTGTGCAGTGCTACGGGGGGCCAGCTGACCCTCGGCTCCATCCCTCAGGTACCGGTGCCCAGGCACTCGGTGGGAGTGGTCATCGGCCGGAGTGGGGAGATGATCAAGAAGATCCAGAATGATGCTGGAGTGCGGATCCAGTTTAAGCAAGGTCAGGGCCGTGCTGCTTGGGCGGGTGGCTCCCGTCGTCCTGGCATCCCTCTTGGGGTTCACTGCAGGCAGCTGGGCACTGCGTTCAGGCTGTGGGGCTTCTGTGAATGCATCTTGTCTGCCTCCCCTGTGGAATAGCCACACAGAGCTGGTGACGGGCAGAGTTTCCAAGTCCCCAGGGGCTGGTTTCCTCACCCATCAAATCCACCTGGTCCCTCCGCCCACCAGATGGCCTGGCCCGGCTGTGTATCATGGGCTGGATCAGGTCACTGCCCAGCTCGGGGTTCCTTCACACACAGGTCTGGAAGGAGGGGGCCCTCTGCTGCTCTTCAGGGATTTCTAGTAGCTCTCAGCTCTGAAAGATGCAGCTGTTAGTAATGGGGGTGCCAAGTGCAGAAGGAAGCGTCTGCCGCAGCTGGCAGGTTCTCGGGGGAGCGTGGGCCAGCCTGCCTCCTTCCCTGTCCGAGGGCATGGGGTGCGAGAGCCGCCCTTTGAGCCTGTGGTGTCTTTAACACCTCGTCAGGCATGGTGTCTGCCTCAAGGAGGTGGTGGTACCAGGGTTCGGACTTGTGCTTCTCTAAATTTGTCTCTCTGATCTCTGGTTGCTGGCTTCAGATGACGGGACAGGTCCCGAGAAGATAGCCCACATAATGGGGCCCCCAGACAGGTGTGAGCACGCAGCGCGGATTATCAATGACCTCCTTCAAAGCCTCAGGGTAGGTGACACGGGGTGTGCTGAGGGCTGGTGAGGTCAGAGGGGACTGGCCCAGCCTTCAAGGGCGGACCAGGGCCCAGGCTGGCCTCCTGTATTTGCCCTCATCTCCCTTTCTTGCAGAGTGGTCCTCCAGGCCCTCCAGGGGGCCCTGGCATGCCCCCAGGGGGCCGGGGTCGTGGAAGGGGCCAAGGCAACTGGGGTCCCCCTGGCGGGGAGATGACCTTCTCCATCCCCACTCACAAGTGTGGGCTGGTCATCGGCCGAGGTGAGCAGCCCTCCACTAACCTGTCCCTCACCCACCCTCCTGCCGCCTGCTCTCACTGCCTGTGGCCCCCATAGGTGGTGAGAACGTGAAAGCCATAAACCAGCAGACAGGCGCCTTCGTGGAGATCTCCCGGCAGCTGCCTCCCAATGGGGACCCCAACTTCAAGCTGTTCATCATCCGGGGCTCACCCCAGCAGATCGACCATGCCAAGCAGCTCATCGAGGAGAAGATCGAGGTGGGCTCCGGGCGGGGCTCTGGGAGCCTGGGCTCAGCCACTGGCGCCCACCCACTGACACGTCCACCTTCCTTCCTCCAGGGTCCCCTCTGCCCAGTCGGACCAGGCCCTGGGGGACCAGGTCCTGCAGGCCCCATGGGTCCCTTCAACCCCGGACCCTTCAATCAGGGGCCACCCGGGGCTCCCCCTCAGTGAGTATTCCAGCTTCCTGGGATTTGGGATGCGGGGGTAGCTCTGCTGGCAGGAATAGCGGCAGGTCCTGTTTTCACCCACCACCAAGAGATCCATCCTACCTTTCAGCAGTGTGGATTTTTCAGGCTGCACAGGGATACCCCCTCCAGCCCCTATTTCCTAGACACTGGGTTTTAAAGAAGATCCTCGTCTGTGTCAACCTATACACAAACCACACATGTTGATTTAGGGTGAGGAGGCTTTAGTGTCCTCAGTCAGTGTGGGCCACGCTCTTTGTGCTGTCTCTGGCCTTTGGCAAAGAACCCGCAGCCCCGTTGGGTGGCAGGCTTGGCCCAGGCCCCTTCCTGTCAGCAGTCCCTGCCCCTGCAGAGGAGCGGCCCCCTCTCACATGTTCCTCGGTTCTTGTCCTGCAGTGCCGGGGGCCCCCCTCCTCACCAGTACCCACCCCAGGGCTGGGGCAATACGTACCCCCAGTGGCAACCACCTGCTCCTCATGACCCAAGTAAGTGAGGCCGCTCAAGTGGGGTTGGGGCAGAGCCTGGGTGCCTGGCAGGGCTGGCGGGCCGGCTTCCTGTGCCATCTCAGCCCGCACTGCTGCCCTGTAGATAAGGCCGCTGCAGCTGCTGCGGACCCCAACGCCGCCTGGGCCGCCTACTACTCACACTACTACCAGCAGCCCCCAGGCCCTGTGCCTGGCCCCGCGCCAGCCCCCGCAGCCCCCCCAACCCAGGGTGAGCCCCCACAGCCCCCACCCGCCGGCCAGTCGGACTACACCAAGGCTTGGGAAGAGTATTATAAAAAAATTGGTGAGTATGTGGCTGTCACAAGGGCTCAAGTCAGCCAGAGGGGTGGGAGGTGCCTCGTCCCTATGCTGTCCTCCTGTGCTCGCCTCCCGCAGGCCAGCAACCCCAGCAGCCGGGAGCACCCCCGCAGCAGGACTACACCAAGGCCTGGGAAGAGTACTACAAGAAGCAGGGTGAGCCGGGGGGCCTTGGGGAGGGGTGGGCCCCATTGTCATCCCCAGCCACTCACCCTCTGGTCCCATGCAGCTCAAGTGGCCACCGGAGGAGGTCCGGGAGCTCCCCCAGGCTCCCAGCCGGACTACAGTGCCGCCTGGGCTGAGTATTACAGACAGCAGGCTGCATACTACGGACAGACCCCAGGTCCTGGCGGCCCCCAACCTCCACCCACACAGCAGGGACAGCAGCAGGCAAGTGGGAATTGCCACCCTCCTCCTCCTCCTTTTTCCTTCCAACCCCCGGCCACCGTCCATCCTGCCTTAGTGGGTAGCGCCGGAAATCCCTTCCCCTGCGGGGTGTGTCCTTGATGCCTGCAGCGGGGGCCGCGTGGCCAGTCTCCGGGAGTCCCCACGAGCCGGGGGACATGTGCGCTGGGTCCAGAGGTTAAACGAAGAGGCCTCCCTCCGCCGGCCTGCTTGTTCCTGTGTAACGCTGTCGTGATGCTGGGGGAGAGCGCAAAACCAGTACAAGGCGAAACTGTGGAACTGGTGGGTAGTCCTGGGGGTGGGGGCAGGCCAGCCACGCACACGCTGGGCACATCCTGGCTGCTGACTCACTCGAAATCTGGCCACTTGGGAAGAAAATGGATGTTTTCCCCTTTCTGCATTACTTTTTTGGTTTTGTTCATTTTATTCTTCTATTTTTATCCCCACAATCTTTCCCCTGGTGTCTGAGTGACTGCGTGTTGCAGTCCACCCTGGCTGTGGCGGGGACCGGCCCCGGGCCCTCCGCTGCGCCCGCCTCTGTGTCCCGGGCTTGTCTGTGAAGTGGGCATGATGATCGCTGCCACCTTCCAACCTACCTCACAGGGGTGTTGTGGGGACACCGTGATCTCTGGTTGTCATGTTGTGCTGTTCCTGAAGACACAGGGCACCCCCTCTCCGCGCTTCCCCGCTGTCTCTCCCTGCGGCCCCTGCTTCTCTCCTGCCTCTGTGTCACTCCTCCTCTGCCATCAAGGCGCCGGGCTGACGTGGGCCGAGTCCCTGGAGCACTTGGTGCAGACACGTCCTTCCCGCCTGGGCCTCCAAGGCTCGGAGCCCCCGTCACCCACCCCGCAGTGACCGATTCCTATCTCTTCCCTCTCTGCAGGCTCAGTGAATCGAATGAATGTGAACTTCTTCATCTGTGAAAATCTTTTATTATTATTTTTTTCCATTTTGTTCTGTTTGGGGGCTTTTTCTTTTTCTTTTTCTTTTTCTTTTTCTTTTTTTTTTTTTTTACGTTTGGTGAGAGAGCGACGGCTGCCACGGGGTGCCAGGAGCCTCACCGAGTGGCTCGGGGGCCGGGTACTGCCATGCCGGGCTCTCGCTCTCTCGCCCATTCTGTGTGTCTCATGCTTGCTTTCTTTCAAAATTGGGATCCTTCATGTTGAGCCAGCCATAGAAGATAGAACTAAATCTCTGCAAAAAAATTTAAAAAAAATTTTAAAAACTAAAAACAAAAAGCAAAACCTATAAAATTATATATATATATATATATATAAATCTTTATCCCCCGCCCGCCTTCCTGAAACTGCCTCTTTCAGGGGAAAGCAATTCATTTTCTCCCCACAACCCTTGGCGCTCTTCATGTTTTTAAAATAAACTTTTGAAAAGGAAAAAAAAAGTCACTCTTGCTATTTTTTTTTTAGTTAGAGTTGGAACATTCCTTGGACCAGGTGTTGATAGGCAGGGAAGCACCCCCCCCCTGCCTGCCCGTCCAGCTCCGCAGCCTCTGCTCCTGCCCCGCTCCTCTGCCCTCCCAGGCTCCCCGTGCTCGCTCCCCCGCGCCCTCCCCGGCTCCCCACCCCAGGACTGCTCTGTCTGTGTCATCTGTTCAAGAGGACGTTGAAACCGAAAACAAATTGAGAACAAAAATTGTATCGCAGTTTTTACTTTTTATCGCTCGTTTTTAACTTCACAAATAAATGATAACAAAACCTCCCCATGTCTGCTGGGTGCCGTCTCTCCCTCTCTCTCTCTCTCTCTCTTTCTCTCTCTCTCTCTCTCTCTCCCCCCTGCTCCCTCCCCCTGTAGAGTTTTGAAGCAGATGTTTGTTCTTTATAGATGTTGTAAAGGCCTGATAATGGTGATTGGAAATTACAAGCTTTGTGTTGTGTTTTTTATTTCTTTTTTTTTTTTTTAAGAACAGAATTATAAAAGAAAATAGTTTTCTGCAGGCGCATTGTGCTTTCCTAACTCTCACCCCCCCTCCTTTTTTTGGTTAAATAAAGTGCTTTTTGTCTAAGATCTGCGTGCTGGCCGCAGTTGTGTTTGTAGAGGAAACCGGTTTAGAGGTACAGGGTGGGCTGATGAGAGAGGGGGTGTGGGCCCCCCAAAGAGAACTCTTCTGGTCTTGCCTGGCGGGAAGAGAATAGCAGGCTGGGCCCCAGCGGTCTCCCCCACCCTTTTTCTCCCTCTGGGAACTTGGGAGCAAGGGCCCAGGAAGAGCCCTGGGGACAGGTGTTGCCGTGGATGCAGCCTGTCACCACAGCAGATGCGCGGTCATGCCTCCCGGGAGGTGCCTAGCCTCCGTACCCACTGGCTGTGGCCTGTTGTGATAGCGGGCCCTGAGGTGGAACTTGGCTTGGGCAAGGAAGTGGCACCAGCTCCCATGCATGGGGCAGGCCATGGCCTCCCTAGGTAAAGACAGCTCTGGCACATGACCTGAGGGCCACCTGGTGCTGCCTGGCCTGGGGGCAGTCAACCTGACAGGCAAGCGTGTTGTGCTCCTAAGAATGGGATTTCAGATTGAGAACCCGGAGGTCTCGGTCCACAGGCTTGGGAATGGGCGTGCCAAGCAGCAGCCCAACCGCTGCCACCTGAGGTGGGGCCGGCCACAACCCCGAGACCTTGTGGAGATGTGTCTGGAAGCTGCACTGTGAGGGTCCTCATCGGTGGCCCCCCTGGCCAGCCCTCCTCACAGGCAGCAGGCCCACAAAGAGGGAGGTGCTGCTCCAGGCTCACATGGGGAGTCCGCTTAGACTAGGGCTACCAGACATCTTACCTCACAGCTACTGCACCCCGTTCTGAGCCCTGTGTGGGTTCTGGGGTGAGGGGAATGGCAGAACCCCCAGCCCCCTGCCGTCTCCCTTCAGGCTTTCAGTGACAGAGCAGCACTTAGCAAAAATGTTTTCTGGAGTCTTCTGCCAAGATGGAGAGGCGCGGGGGTGAAAGGGCCCGTTCTGAGCCGGCAGGGACGTTGCCCCCCAGCAGGGGGGAAACGATCCGCAGACACCTTATTAAGTGACAGTCGGGGATGAGGTGTGATCCCAGGGCCAGGCAAGGGAAGGGAAGGGGAGGGCTCAGGGAGGCTGCACCACCAGGCGACACGTTCTCACAGCGGCTGCTCAGCCACAAGCTCTGCAGAGACGCTGTCCCTTGGAATAGGCCATAAGTGGTTGGGGTCACCCGCCCACCCTGCCATCCCATCTTCGTGGAAGCTGGTTCCACAGGGCATCACAGTCCCTCACGGTAGCTCAGCTCAGGCTCCTGTCCAGCTGAGAATGGGAACGCCCCCGAAGTTCCCTGTTTTGATAGCAATGGAAAGTACAGAAATGGGATGGGTCCCTGTCCACTTTGAGAATCTATGACTGGATTTGAGGTAAACTGTGGTTCACGAGTTGTCATAATCTTACGTCTTGCAGTTATGTTCTAGGTTGTATTTAGTTTTGCAGTTTTTTGGAGCCAAGGATTGGCCCTCTAGACCTGAAATACTGCCATAGCCAGAGGCCAGAGTCTGTACATGTACTGCCTTAAGGGGGAAACAGAGGCCTGGAGAGGTCACAGCATGACCCCTGTGCTGTTCAAGCCGGACCTGCTTCCTGGGGAAGCATGGAGTGGGTGTCAAACCAGGAGTATGTACATTTCAGAGCAGGTTCTTCTGCTGATGGAGGGTCAAGATGGGCTCACACATGGTATAGTGGGTCTCCAGGCGCTGGTGGATGGCAGATTCGCAGTCATCTGCCTGGTGCTTCACCCGGCCCCAAACTCTCTGGACCATGGTCTCCGTGGAACAGTCGAACACAATGACGATGTTGGCAGCCTGGCCCACCAAGGCAGCCATAAAGGGACTGGATGAGAAAGTGGCTGGGTGCAGTGGCCCGCCACGCTCCCCCAGAGGTCAGAAATCGAGGGTTGTGCCAGCCAGTAAAGAATCACTGGACCCCCAGGTCTATATGTTTTTAGTTCCAAGTTTTTGTTTTCCATGTTGTTTATTTTTTGGATAGGTGGGGCACTGGCAGAGCGGTAAGCCAAGCAACACTGAAAGGAGAGAGCGGAGAGTTCCCCATCGTGGGCAGCCACCCAGGTACACCCTCCCTGGAGACAACCACGTTATCTGTTTCCTGTGTCTCCTGGAGTTATTTTAGGCATATGCTTTGGGAGCCAATCCAGCTCTGATGTTTTTTTCCTCTTTTATACAAATGGTGAAGATACTGATTGTCCCTTAATCTCACTCACTCAGTATAACTGGAGATGATTCTATACTGGCCCATACAGAGGTTCCCGATTCTTTTTCACCACTATATAGTATTGTGCTGTGTGGATGTACCACAGTTTACTTAGCTAGTTCTAGGTCGGCGGATGTTTAGATTGAAATGTCCCTTTTAAGTTGGGTTTAAGCTAAGTCTTTACTTGCCTTGCTCTTACCCAGGGGACACTGTGAGTCCCTGGCTCACCACTGCCCACACCACACTCTGCTTTCCCCAACCGGCCCCGCCTCACGGAGACCTGGATCTCCATGGCCGCCCACTGTGAGTCTCAGTTCCTTCAAGTTCTTCCAGGATTTCCTTATAACAGAATCCAAAAGGGCACTAAAAAAATTTTTTTTTCAACCAAGTGGGATTCATTCCAGGACAGCAAGATGGTTCAATAAAATTTATCCTACTGCTACCTTAAGACAAAGCCCAATACCCATCCTCACAAACACAGAGGGGATAAATTGACAAAATTGACACATTCCTGATTTTTATCTTAAAAGCCTGCTAGGAATTGATGAGTACATCTTCAGCCAGCTCCCTACTTGAGGGAAATCTGCTTTCCCCCGAAAGTGAGGAGCGAGACGAAATGGCCACTCTGAGAGGATTAGCTGAAGCAAGGAGAGAAAATAAGGCAGTTTGAGAAACCTGAATATGAAGGAAGGGAAAGCCACATCTGTTGGCAGATAATGTGATTATGTTACTGGACAACTCAAGAAAATAACATGAACTAGTACACACTTTAGAGAATTTGATAACTAGGATAGAGCATTTATCCCATTAGGAAGAAGGCCCCACTTAAAACAGCAACAAGAATGAAAGATAAAATGCTTGGGGAAAACTTTTCCAAAAATGTGCAAAGTCTTTGGGAAAATTTCAATGAAATACTCTTAAGTGACTTGAAGACTGCAACAAAAGGAAAATATAAAGGTTCTTGGGTAGGAGGATTCAACATTTAAAGGAACCAGGAGTTCTCAGTTTATAACTTTAATTTGATCCAACTGTGACATATTTTAGTTGAGTTGGGTTGATTCTACCATTCATTTATGAAGGCAAGCGGCAATGGCAGACATGCCATGGGTGTCGGACCATTAAAGGAGTACATAACCCTACCAGATATTAACACCTCCAAAAGACACAGTAATTAAAACAGCACCGCACAGGAGGCCCAGCAGACCCCTGGAACTGAATGGAGAGTCCAGAAATAGACCCAAGTGAACAGTAAGTTGGCAAATGGCTAGCATGGCATCTCAAATCAATGGAGAAGGGACAAAAGTTTAAATGATGCTGGGACAACAGAATTGCAATTTGGGAAAAGTTCAAACTGAATACTTAGTCATTCCAAAAACTAGGAGAAGTTCTAAGTGGATCAGAGATATAAATAATGTAAAGAAATAAGATCATACAAGTACCACATAAGCTATGGATGAATTCCCTTATGAACCTAGCATTGGAAAAAAAAAATGCCTCAAAATCCAAAAGAAATAACAGAAAATGTTAATAAATGTGATCTAAAAAATAACTCACATGGCAGCAACACAACAAAGCGAAATCAAAAGATAATTGACAAACTGGGTGAAAAGAAATTTGCAATCCTTACGAAGGGCTAAAAGTCCTAATATATAAAGAGTTCTTAGAAATCAAGAAGACCAATGGAAAGAAAATAGGCAAAAGATACAAAGAGTGCCCAGAATAAGAAAATAAAAATGGCCCTTAAGCTTTGGAAAAGATGCTTAACCCGATAGTAAGAGAAATGCCCATTTAAAACTATACTGAAATAGCATTCACATGTAGGAAGGCTGACTAAGACCCAGAGTTTCAGCAGCAACCTCTGCTGATGTGGCTGTAAGGAAATGGGCACTTTCATCTATTGCTGATAAGGGAGGGGGGTGGTATTTAGCAAAGTGCTCCACCCATTTCTCTTTCACACAGCATCGGTTTCCTAAGAACCCACCCTAAAGACGGTAGGCAACATATGACACCACATGCGAAGGTCATTTAGCATGGCATTGTTTCCAGAGGCAAAAGAGAGCAAATAGCTTATTGTCTAGCAGTAAGTGTCCAACAATTTCCTGTTCTGAGAGATGCGCTGAATGAACGACGGGCGACCGCATGCAGCGGTTACGGGAGCACAAAGCGGTGAGGAGGTCCTCATGCTGCTGACATGAATTCAGGATGTATCGTAAAGTTCTTAAAATAATGACTTGTATCTATCGGCTGTTAGTTTTTGTGTGGATTGCTCTCACACACACACACACACACACACACACACACACACACACACACAC